CACCATCACCAGCATCACTACCACCATCTCACCAGAACACTGTGACCATCATCAGTATGACCACATGACTACTGTCACCACCACTGCCATCACACAAGACACCATCATTATCACTGCCCCATCATCACTACCACCACCACTTCCACTCTTGTTTGTTTGTTTGTTTGTTTGATCGATCAATTGACTTTTGAAACAGTCTCCCTATGTAACCCTGGCTGTCCTGAAACTCTCTCTGTAGATCAGGCTGGCCTTGAACCCACAGAGAACCGCCTGCCTCTGTCTCCACATACTGAAATTAAAGGCATGTACTACCACCGCCCGAACTCCTCCATCACCGCTATCCATCACCTTCACCACCATTCTGACTACTGCAAACACCATCCCAAATTTGGAGCTACCAAACAATGAGGATTTTAGGAATGGAAGTTACCAGAATCAACAGCTAATAGAACAGATTAGCTACAGAACTAACATTTTTATGGGAGATTTTACTTTGCTAAGAATGTCAATAAATACCTTATTATTTAAGCCTCACAACAACCCTAAGAGATGAGACAAAGGAGTAGTTCCACTTTTGTGTTTGCCTTGCTTTGGGGATATTTATGCAAAGAAATACAAATGGAACATAACAAACGCCCACATACCAGCCACCTAGAACTGACAGGCGATGCTATTTTGTCATCCACATCTCAGTTCTTTAGAAGAGGGTCATGTTCCACTTTGAGTGGACATGTCCTTTGTAGTTCTCCTTGCTACTGTTTCTTATCTTCCATCCCAGTGACAACTTACCATTTGATATGATTATGTACAATCTGTGTTTTTATCTTTTTAATATGTATTTATAGTGTATTTTATGTATACACACAAGCATATCTTTCTCCTAAGAATACAGTCTTCTGCATGCTTTTAGTGAGAAATTCGAGGTATCACACTGGAACACTTTGCAATGTTTTTTTTTCACTCTTCAATATCCTTTCAATATCATTTCATATAGCTGTGTTGGGAGCATTCCATTCATTTCCAACCATAATAAAGTATTCCCACATGTAAGTCATCCACATTTTGTTCATCCAGCCCCCTCCTGATGGGCATTTGGATTGTACCCAGTGTTTCATTCCATACACTGTGCTGCAATGAACATCATTATGTATGTCCCTTAATATCATATTTAATTACAAATGAGGAAACTGAGCCTCAGACAGGAGGGACTGTATGATTTTCCCATCTTCACATGGCTCTCAAATGACAGTCAAAACTGGATCATTATCAAACTACTCCATCCTCCAGGCATATTTGTACAGGCCAATATTTCATAAAGGATACAAGAGGGTGCAATGATAACTAATCCATGCTGTGAAATACCCAGACTTGATAAAATGTCGATTCTGAGTAGAATATAATTAATTTTTAAAGCAACATAGACTGAGAAGTGGATGGTACCTGCTCAGAAGCACTGGTCATGAGCTGATCTGTGTTTGTGTCTAAGATGTGTATGTTTCAAGAGACCATGAAGGAAAACAGGGAGAAGAGTCATCTGCAAGCCATAGACAAAGACCTCAGGCTCCCAGTCTCAAGAACTATGAGAAAGTGGGTTAGTGGAGTTCTGTTGTGTATTCTGGTGCATGGACACATGTGTATATGTGGAAGCCAGAGGACAACCTCGGCTATCATTCCTCAGTCACCATCCACCTTCTTTTTGAGACAATGACTCTCATTGGCTTGGAGCATACCAAGTCAGCTAGGCTAGCTGGCCAATGCTAAGCATGCAAGTGCACACCACAACACCTGGGTTTTATGTTGGTTCTAAGGTTCCAAACTTGAGTCTTGACGCTTGTGGTCGTAAACACTACCAACTGGGCTATTACTACAGCCCCAAATACCTACCTTTTTATCATTTTTTATTAGATATTTTATTTATTTACATTTCAAAAGTTACCCTCTTTCCTGGTTTCCCCTCTGAAAACCCCCTATTCCATCCCTCCTCCCCCTGCTTCTATGATGGTGCTCTCCCCACCCATCCACCCACTCCTTCCTCCCCGCTCTGGCATTCTCCTACACTGGAGCATTGAGCCTTCAGAAGACCAAGGACCTCTCCTCACATTGATGCCCCACAAGGCCATCCTCTGCTACTTATGCTGCTGGAGCCATGGGTCACTCCATGTGTACTCTTTGGTTGGTGGTTTAGTCCCTGGCAGCTTTGGAGGGTCTGGTTGGTTGATACTGTTGTTCTTCCTATGGGTTGTAAACCCCTTCAGCTCCTTCAGTCCTTTCTCTAACTCCTCCATTGGGGAGCCTGTGCTCAGTCCAATGGTTGGCTGCGAGCATTCACCCCTGTATTTGTCAGGCTCTGGCAGAGAAGTGTTTAAACAT